AGCCTGACCCTTGTTCCAGGATCCAGGATTAGTGGCCTTATCTTCCATTCTTTTATGGGCTGTGATATTGTTCTAGTATTCTGGATAAGAAACCAGCCCGGCAGACATGATGCGTTAACATGTTCTGTATGTTATAATGTGATCCTAACCTGCAAATGTTATTGGAATGAAACAAGCATGTGTACTTCTCTATAAAATCTCGGTAGTATCAGTAGGTTTAAAATAATTCAAAGTTAATTTAATTTAAAGAAATCTGAATGACTTTAACCAGATGTTACTGTATTTAGAAGGTTCATAGATGCTTTTTGAGAAAAAAAACTATGACACCTATGTCTGCCATCTTAAAAAATGGCCGCCATTTTTAATTTTTGCATGGCTAATGCTTAGTTCTACATGGCGTCCAAGAAGTCATTCACATACCAAATGTAAAGCATGTCCAACAATGAGGACCTCTTTGCCCAACTAAGATAGCAAATGGCTTGTCACTGATCAGCTGATAGTCCAAAGTTATATTCTTCTGATGGAAATTTTCTACGAATCAGGAAGGAAGGCTTCATGCCAGAGCGAGGTGCACGACCTGGAGTGAAGAAGGTCATGGTGATTGTGACAGACGGAGAGTCACATGACTTCTATAATGTCGACAAGGTCATCGGAGCCTGTGAGGACGATGACATCGAGAGGTTTGGCATTGCCGTGAGTACTGCTTCTGGGTTGTTTTCAGAAATGATCATGAACATGTATGGGAGTTTTGTGTTTACCATATCTGTTCAAAAAAGTCTAGAAAAGCTGAATTATTTGAAGCACAAAGCATTAAAACTGACTCATATAAATGTCTTCAGAACAGATTTGTTAAAAAATATGTATCTGTCCTCAAAACGCTTGGACTCTTTGAACCATTTAGTCACTCACTTAGTTGTTAAGCTCGTTAAGATAGCTCCTTGTTGCTTCCAGGTTTTGGGAGATTACAATCGTCAGAACAAAAGTGCAGAAGACGTGCAGAAGTTCATCAAAGAGATCGAGTCGATCTCCAGTCAGCCGCTACGAGATCACTTCTTCAACGTGTCGGACGAGTTTGCTTTGCTGAACATTGTGGATGCGTTGGGAAGCAGGATTTTTGCCTTGGAAGGTAAACTTACAAAAACACATACAGTTCGCATGCTTGACTGTGTTATTAATGCATCACAATGTTTTGATTTCATTCATGTTGTTTTTATTTTAAAGATTATGCCTGATTGCTAGACAGATAATGTCTTTATTTTATACAAATCCCAGTAATTGTAATCTAAACAGGAATATTAGACGTACCAAGCAGGTATCACCTAAAAACAGGAAACAATTCTATCACATCATGCCTGCTATTTTTGCCACAGAAGTAATTTTTGCTTGTTACGACTGTTTAATCCTGATAGCAGCAGTTGCAGATTTATGTAAACTGGGCAATACAACTTTAACAAGCAGCTACCGTCTGTCTTTTGCAGATGATCTTGTTTTTTGTTTTTTTTGTCGCAACACTGGGAGGCAGTTAGCTTAGCATAAGTAAGGAGTTAAAGAATTACATGAATTTGCTGAAAACACTTGAGTATTTTAGAAAAAAATGGTCAACTCCCATGTCCATCCAAGAAATATGGAGCTAATATGCTAACGATTTAGCGAGCTTAGCTTTCCACAAAGATCTGAATTAGGGTAAACAGCTGGCCTGGCTCATGACTGTTGTGTTTTTTTTTTGTTTTTTTTTCGTAAAGCTTGAACAAAGGAGATGTGATGTATTGTTTTGTGAACCTGCTATATAGATATATTTCGTTACCTGCGGACAGAGCCAGACTAGCTGTTTCACACTGTTTCCTGTCTATGCTAAGCTAGCAGGCTTCATATCTGCCATGAGGGTGGTTTCATATAATTCTCAGCCAAAAATGGTAACAAATACTTCTCAAAATGTCAAACTGTTTAATGTTTTTGATTCCACAATTATTATATAATGTGACAATTTCATATAAACAGAGTTTGTTTGTGTGCAGTTTATTTATATGTACCTAAATAGAAGTTTTCCCTCTTCAGCTACAACTGGAAACTTCACCTCCTCCTTTGAGATGGAGATGTCCCAAACTGGGTTTAGTGCTCACACTTCTAAAGTAAGTCCGAATCCAATTGTTTATGTCTGATTAATACACAAATGCCATATTTGCAAAGTAAAAGATCACCAAGCCAGACTGAACCGAGTGACGGACGAGTGAATGGTATCTTTAGATCACAGCACAGTTTACATGACTGTAGGCGTTTAGTTTAAAAAGAACAGTTTATTTAATATGCTCACGTGCAGATGTATGCACAGGCGCGGAAGTTTGCTCAGCTACTGAACTCATCCAGACACAGTGCTATCTGGGGTGCATCTCGAGCCCTTCGGGTGATTCATCTCGGTCAGTACAAGCTTCCAGACACAGACTCTCTGTGTTCTGAGTTCACACCGCTGCAGACTGCTGCCGCTTATGTCTGATCGCATGAGAGACAGACGGGAGATAGGAAGGCCAACACGAGGCGCATACGACACGAGGGCCGGCGACGGAGGCTGAATCAGATGCTTGTTGCTTTTGCCCCTTCACACGCTTCTTGAGTTCATTCAGAAGGTATTTCCTACGTCTGTTTAAAGACAAACAAGCCTCTCTTCCTGCTCCTGACTCATGTTTATCACCTCCTCTGTCACTGCGTACGCCGTCTCTGGCTCATTCAGCTCGACAGTACCAGACACCGCCAAACTTAGTTGTACCACTCGAAGACCAAACACGTGACGCCACGTTTTGATGGTCATTAGTGGGAAAGAGCCACTTGATGCAGTTCATTGTGTCAAATTATCCATGTTATGTCCTGTGTGACCCCTCCCCTTCCTATTAGATAACTCAGTTTCCTCTGGACAGAAAAAGATTGATGATAACCATCTGACTTGTGCTATTCTACTCCTGTATTTTATCTTATTTTATGACATATATCTATATTTGTAGTTCATTTATACAGAGTGATTAACTGATTATTTCTTTCCCCCAGTTGACCTGTTAACTGCCAAAAACACTAATTTATTGAAGTATTAAAAACACAAAATACTCAAATTTTTGAGTTTGTATTCACTACATGTTTGTTGTCAGTAGCTTAAATAGTTTGTTGTTGATTAATTTTCTGCTGATCAAATATGAAGCTAAAGGTTTCAGCAGTACTTACTACTTTTTGGATCTTCATGCACAGAAACATTTATGCACCTATTTTATTTTTTATTTTTTTTTACCTTTTGTGCACTACAATTACATTTCTGATCATTTTTATAGATTAAGCCACCCAACAGCATCATAAAATTAACTTTGCTCCAAGTGACATGTATCCCACATGTCAGTGCTTACATTAATATAACAGTCTGAAGGATCTACTGAACTCCATTAGAAAGTGATAGCAAATGTGTAATTTGAATACAGAGTATTTTAACATTTTTATGTTCAGTGCTTTCACCTAATTAAAGGATCAGAGTTCTTCTTCCACCACAGTTTTTGTTTTTGGCTACATTAACATCCCCCACTAAAAAAAATGGTCCTGATGCTGCTGATCTCACGTCCTGCTGTTACTTAAATCTGTCCCACAGGACGGTGTGTTACTGGGAGCAGTGGGAGCGTATGACTGGAACGGGACGGTGGTCATGCAGACTGCTGGAGAAAGTATTGTTCCAAAGAAAAACGAGTTCTACAACCCAGAGATTGAGGTTGGGTACGAAGGACTGGCCGGGTACCTCGGTGAGTGGACGCAAAATGTTGTAAAGCTCCTGAAAGCATTCATTTTGTGAATCTTTACACGTCACGCTTATAGTTTGACACACATCACATTGATACTTTATTATATTGACCTTGTGTACAGTTTGAGGTGTTTCGTCAACTGAATCCACTTTTCTGTTCATTGATTACATGTGAAGTCACTTTGCTAACCTTTCTTGATTCTGGTCTCTTTTTGAAGTGTCATAGATAGAAATTAAAACTTCTGAAAATGTTTTGAATATGTTTGTTTAGGCACAAAATCCTAAGAAACACAGAACAAGCAATGTGGCAGAGCAATTGTGGTCGTGGTTCAAACCTAAAAATTGCTCTTTATAAAGTATAATGATGCTTTTGGTTGTTTTGCATGAGAAATTTGTGACATTCTCAGCAGTTTAAAGTAAGAAATGCCAATTTAGCAACATTTTTGCCAGAAGCTAATGAGCGTTCGATGGTAATTTGGTCTCTGTGGGTTTTCAGTTTCTCTTCCGTTCTTTGACTGCTGTTCTCTCAGTTATCGATTTTTAATTTTATAAAGAAACACTTATGATATGAAGAACAATACTTTTATTAGTAAGCTCAATAAAATGCAGATAACGCACACATTTTTTCACTCGCGCAGACATCGCTTTGAGAGTTTTTGTTTTCAAACTAAGAGGGAGAATTAAACTTGATCCTTCAAGGGATTAAAGAAAATTTTACAGCTGCGGTATAAATATAGAGTTTGTGCCTTGTGGAGGAGAAAGATATGTAATTTGTCTATCTCTGACAGCAGATGCTTCTCTCGCTCTCTCTCTCTCTGTCACATAAATAACATGCACAGACTCTTCTCTCCATCCTGCTGCCTTTTATGGCTCGTAAAGCAACCGCAGCATCTTAATATCAAGTTATTTAATCAACATGTCATTAGACGGAGCACTGGTAGGTCCAGGCTCGCGTACTGTAAACTCAGCTGCTGGCACATGCTCGTACCTAATGGTCAGACGGCAGCACACAGAGCCGTTGTGTGCTTTTTCTAAGAGGGTGTGTGTTCCTGCCAGTTTCCACTAGTGTTTTATAGTTTCCTCCACGCACTCAGATGTAAACAGCCGCCTGAAGAAGCCTTTAAAAATACCTCACAAAAGGGAGCTAGAGTGTGTTTTTTTCCTGGTGGCATCGTAAATTGCAGATAATTCTTCACACATTCCTGAGGAAGCCTGCGCGCACCGAATTTAACACAGTGTGTGCTTGTGATTGTGTTCTCTGCAGGCTATGATGTTCAGTCAGCGTCCACCCCAGACGGAGTGCTGTACATCACAGGTGCACCACGATACAACCATACGGGCCGCGTGGTCATCTACCGTCTGAATGAAACAAACAACGTCGTGGTGTCGCAGATACTGAAAGGAGAGCAGGTGAGTGTTTGTCAGGTTGGCATCTGGGCTAGACTTTGTTTCTCGGTGCATTTTTGCAGGTTCTTTTCATATTCTAAGCTAGCTGGGTCTCCACTGTTATACTTGCTAATAAACCTTAAGAGAAGATAAGAATAGGTTCAATACACACCAACTAATAGACAACAATGCAAGATATGGTGTTGTGCTTTCTCATCGTGTTGTTGTGCTGTCTGTATTTTATGTTTGTTTGTTTTGTTTTGTTTTGTTTACATTATTCATGTTCTGTTAAAAAAAAACAAAAAAAAAACATTTTTGACTCCTCAGCACAACTGACTAATTAGTGAGTCAGCCGTGACCAACAGTCATATGACAAACATTCAGGGAACTTTTAGTTGAACTGCAGGCTGTGTTTGCACAGAGCTGAGAGGAGACAAATATGGAAACAAATGGAAGATTCCATCCATTATCTACAACCAAGCACACTCACATTCACACCTACGGACAATTTAGAATCACCAATTAACCTCAACATGTTTTTGGACTGTGTGGGAGGAAGCCAGAGAACCTGGAGAGAACCCACGCTTCATGGGGAGAACATGCAAACTCCACGCAGAAAGATCCCAGGCGTCCTAACAAGGATGCGAACTGGGGATCTTCTAGTTGCGACATGACAGTGCTAACCACTGAGCCACCTTGCGGCCCATAAATGAAAGATTTAAGTAGTTAAATATCCATAGTATGAAGATCCATCATTTTTCAGTATTTGCAACACTTTGAAAAATAATATACATGTTGATTCCATATTTTCCAATTTTTGTGAAGTAAACATCCAAAGAAATTCAATGTTCTTATTTTCTTTTTTATGACTTATGGCATTATAGCTATGTCATATTGCACAGAGAACTTTTTTTTTTTTTTAGTTCTCTATATTTCTAGCCATAATTGTGTCATTTCCATAGATGTCCAGAATTTTATATTGCAGAAACAAGCACTGCTTGGCATTCAGAGAGTTAATAAAGATGCACCACTTTCCTTCAGAGAATTTAGCTACAGCTGTCAAATCCTCTGCCAAATGCAAGCTTAGGGAGTCTTCTAGATGGACTTTTCAGTGAATAAAATCCAGAAACATAGACCTCAGAAGCCAACAAGTTCAGTGGTCAAAGAGTAAACGCTGATTTCTGGCTTGTCCGTGCAGATTGGTTCTTACTTCGGCAGCGTCCTGCAGACTCTCGACGTCGACGGGGATTCCTACACGGACCTCCTGTTAGTGGGAGCTCCAATGTACATGGGCTCAGAGAGAGATGAGCAGGGACAGGTCTACGTCTACAAAATCGATAAGGTACAAAACACTGACAAGGAGTTTGTCTTATTGCATTCATCAGATTTCACAAGATGTGATTATAGAAAAGCTGGTCATCCTCTCTCTTGGTGTTGATGACCTAATGTTGGTTTTTGCTTCATTACCAGACCGGCCACTTCAAGCACGAGTTCACGCTGAAGCCTATCAATCAGTCGTGTTGCACCGCCCACTCAGCCAGCTGCACGAATAAAAATGAACCGTGTGGTGCCCGCTTTGGTACGGCCATTGCAGCAGTGTTAGATATGAACCTTGATGGGTTTAACGATGTGGCGATCGGAGCACCTTTTGAGAATGATCACAGAGGAGCCGTCTACATCTATCATGGAGACAAGACGTCACTGAAAGAGAAATTTGTGCAGGTGAGAACACTGAGCTGCTAATACCAAACAATCTTTTGTCCACATACATTTATTTGTCTACCTGTGTTGTAGAGATTGGGGGAAACAAGTACTTGTACAAAACTGTGAATGGCAGGGCAAGCTGCTCCAGTGTCCTACTAGCTTTTCAAATTTAGCTTCGAATAGATCCTCCCCTGTGCGTAGTCTTCACAAATCTTCATTTCCTCAAGCCAGCACAGCCAATTTCCCATGTATGATAATACCAGATTGAAATAAGCCATTTTTTTTCTCTCTTCTTTGTTCTCCTCAGCGTATCCCTGCAGGTGGCGACGGTACAAAGGTGAAGTTCTTCGGTCAGTCCATACACGGAGTCATGGATCTAAATGGAGATGGAATCACTGATATTACTATAGGAGGTCTGGGTGGAGCTTCGCTGTTCTGGTGAGACGTCCTCAGATATAAACATTCACTCCCAAAGCTACACATTCCACTTCAATCGTTACCAGCAGCGGCACTCGTATCCCGGAGACATCGTCCTACATGTCCGCTTTGCATTGTCTTATTGGGGTTTAGACAGCTGCGCACGTCCCACCGGGCTTGTAGGCTGGAGACCAACAACTTCCTAATGATCTCTCTGTTAAAACCCCCGGCTGCATACTTCAGACTTCAGCCCACAAAGTTCTGAAACATCAGCCCACACCATGATTTAACTTCCCAGGCAGACCTTTTCCCCACAGTTTCTACTGGCAGAAGCTCAACTAAGCTGTGTGAAAACTCCATCTCCCAGGTGGCTTAGAGTTTAAATAGGATTTGGCAGCAGGCGACGACTCTTCCTGGACTGTTGGCTGCGTTTTAGGAAGCTGCAGCAGTTGGATGGAAAGAGTTAAAGCCAAGTTTTGCACTCAAGATGCATCCGTTCCTTGTTTCATCCTTTGATGAAGTGGCTGCACACACACACACACACACATTGCAATAATTGTACTCATGCAGAAAAAATGGTCTTTACTGTCAAATGCGTATTTCACAATGCACTGGTGTGTATTTAGAATGTCACTGTTGTGGCTAATTGAGGCTGAGCTAGTTGCACATAAGGTTTAGGGCCTCCCTAAAGGGTCACAAGATAAATCTAAAGGGTTGTGACGCAGCGGAGTGATACTATAAAGTAAAATGGAAAGAAGCACTTCAAATTGAAAGTTGTCCAGTACTCGAATAAATGCGTTGTGCTTAGGTGCTGTTTGTTTTTTGTATTTTTCCAGGTCCAGAGACGTTGCAGAGCTGCACGCCAACATGACTTTCAGCCCTGCTAAAATCAACCTGCAGCAGTCTCAGCACCAGTGTGAGCACGGTGGACGCAAATCTGTGTGTGTGACGACCGAAGTGTGTTTCTTCTACAGCATCAAATCTGACCAGACGGGCTCAGACTCCAATGCGGGTGAGCTACAGAATATACCGTGACGTCGCTCGTGATCCTGACTCCCTCCGGATTCTACTACATGTTTTCTTTATTTGTTTTGTCCTGCAGAAATCCGCTATAGTTTGACTCTGGATGCTCTGCGTGCAAAAGCCAGGGCTTCATTTCTTAACGCGTCGGATAAAAATGACCGTCGGCTTACCAAGGCCTTCGTCATCAAAGACAGACAGAGAAAATGCGTGAAGGAAGCTTTCATGATGTCGGCAAGTACTCTGATCCTTATGATTGTTTCTTACTTGTAAAAATGTAACCACAAACTTTTCTGTAGCCCTCTGTCCAGTAGGAACAGTATTCAGATCAGCCGGATGCCTTCGATCTCTTCATGCATGTTGTATTGTAGTGTTTGTTTTGGATGTAAATGGGGTTCGAGGGCTGTTAGCCAGATAGGAGACAGGACAAAGCTGTGAGAAGGCCGATGCAGAGCAGCAAGACCTTGATTCTAACATGAAACAGACCCATCCTGATCAAAGCAGGCTCGGTTCAGCCCCGTGCTGCTCTGGCTGATAAATGATGTGCAGACACATGGAGAGATTGGAAGAAAATGAGAATGAATGAAGAGTAACTAAAAGGGTGAATCGGGTGTTTTGTGAATGTGACATTTAAGGTCAAGATTTCTCCATGTGATCCAACGAGATCTAACAAGATGATCGCACACCGTTGGTCACAACTAAAACCTTTGAACGTTACCACTGCACCACCTACTGTAAACCTAAGCAGTGTCCAGCAGTTTTCTCTTTCCAGACTTTCACTGCTGCCATGGATTTCTCTGATTAGCTGCCTCTAGGCGAGAGAAAGAGGAACTAATCAGTGGGAACAGCTGTTGTTGCTGTGTGTGCTGAGCATGAATACCTGCTCTGTTCTTGCGTGCCAGTTTGTGCAGAAGCTTCCCACATATTCCAGGGCAGAGGTCTTCGGAGGTCAGAAAATTTGTCCCAATTGCAGAATGCCGCAAATCTTTCTCCTCTGAATCCAACATGGACTGAACCCAGACCTGGACAGATCCGACAGCAGCTGCATGAAGTTAAAAAAGAAGACACATCAGGAATCAATACATGTCTAATTTGGGCTGATGCAGTGTCTCCAAACCTGTTAGGAAAACCTCAGACTTGTGTATTCAAATCTTCCAGTCCCTCGTCCACACCAGGATTAAATGGTCGTAAAGGGTTTGTGCAAAGATACCGACTCTGTAGTCGACCAAAGAAAATCTCGGTTGGCTAAGATAACACCCAGTCTTCTACCAATCAGTTGGTCGTGGAGAAACAAAAAACTGTATTATCTCCGGGGGAACTGAGTGAACTCAACCTGCTAGTCTTACAGACATACATGAATTATAAATACACATATAAAAGGAGTATTTGCAGCATATTACATCATTTGAACCTGGTTATTTTACAGTAAAATGATAACAACTGACGTGGAACAGACCAGCATGCACCTGCACATATTCATATAATTATTAAGGAATAGAACTATTAAGGCCACAGGAGTTCTGGGCTGATTTAATCCTGTTTCATGTCTCCCAACACCTGGAGGAAAAATCTGGTTTGAGATTTTGGTCTTAAACTTCTTTCAGTCCAGATTATTTGGTAATGTGACAGGTTTACACATGCCGTCTTAAATCCCCCGAAACTTCTCACAGATTTATGAAGAGCACCCTAACTAACATGAGATTTGTTTGGTAAAATTGGGATGATTCCGACTATTATGCTGTCGCCCAAAGCAGTGTGCATGAGATTAAAGAGAAGAATATCTTGGAAGCTTGAACATTTAATAAACATGTAAGTTAGACCTCGCTGTCTCTATTAGGTTGGACGAGTTCAAAATTGTGAAAAAGTGTTCACAGGTATTCTGTTCCTCCAGCTGCCAAGAATACTGAATTAATCCCAGAAGGCTATTATTGTAGCGCCTTTCTGCTTATTGAAGGAATACCAGAGATTTTCTGGTTAACAACTGTTGGTCAGATAAAAGTGAATCTACCAGACAATCAACTACTTGACCTGGATACTACAGTCCTAAATGGCATGTTACATACAGTCTGATCAGTCCTTGTTGTTTTTGGCACGATCAGGACTGTTGACATTACACTCTGGTCAGTCGTGTGCCCGACTAGAAATGCAGCGCTCTCATGTTCTGCTCTTTATCAGGGTCCTTTTTCGGTTTAATCACCATTTGGATCAGGCCCAAGAGAGTTCTATATTTCTGCCTCACTGTGACTTTCCGATACATGCCAAGCCTCAATGTGAAGCAGCTCTTTCAAATGCTATCGTCATGTTTCAATCACTTAAAGGCCCTGCACACCCACACATGCTTTTCCATTTACTCTGGTGGATTAGACTTCTTTTTGTCCACATGGTGCAGCTCGAAGGATGGTTGTATTTTGTGTTCCCAGTGACTGTGACCTTTCCTCGAGCACCAGTAAATGCTGGACCTTTTTTTTTTTCTTTTTTTCAGTCAGATGTCTTTGATATATGGCTTTTATGACATTGGTGACTCTGGCTTTTCCTTTGGTGCCACCAGTTCCACAAACTGATCATTAAGTTTTCATTATGTCAGTGAATGACTGAATTCATCATGTCAACATCTGCTAAATGGACCAGCACAAAAGTTTGTACAGATGTTCCTGGTTTCCAGTGGTTGATGATTCTCTGCCTTTTGCTCTACCACCAGGTTGACGTTCTTGGTTTATAGTGAAATGTTGGATGATTTGCCAGTTGCCAGGTTTTGTATTTGGTCCCAGTAAGTTCTTTATTGATTGCACCATATTAACAGTGGGCAGGGCCTCCCTTTGCTCCTAAAGCAGCTTCAGTTCTTGGTTGCATCGATTCTATGAAGTGTTGGAGATATTCATTTTAAGATTCTCATTTGTTAGGGCTACATAGTTCATTGATTTGAAATTAAGATTTAAACTGAGAAATTAGCAAATCACAAAGGCTGTAATTTAGGAGTAGCCTTTATGCCCGGGGTTTAAACCGTCCTCCTTTTGTGACAATCACGCTTTTGATGGCGTCTCTTGTGGTAATGCTCCATCTCGTTTTAAAGCTATTACACAGTAATTTTGAAGTAAAGCTTAACTTTAAGAAATTCAAATCAGACCACAAAATCTGACAGAAAAATGAAAACGAGATATTTTCCACAAAACCTTCAACTCTGTTGCAGATGTTGACATGATGGCATCATTTCTTCAGGTTTTTCAGCTGCACAGTTTAATTTACTATCATATCCTAAGCTGTTCAATTGTATTGAGGTCTGATTACTTGGGAGGCCACCAAAATCCTCTGGACACTTTGTCATGTTTGTGAAACCAGTCTGAGATTACTTTTGTTTTTGCTTTTGACATGCTGGAATGCATGGGCATTGTTGGTCGTGGCATTTAAACTTTGATTGATTGGCATTAAGGGGCACTTTGTGTGGAAAGAAAACATTCCCAACACCATTACAGCACCAGTCGTGAGCGGTAAAACTGGGCAACAATAATGGAGATCCATCAGGCCAGGCTGTTTTTCTGATCCTCAACTGTCGTGTTTTCTTCTTTCTGTGGGAGTAGGAGGCATCATCGCTGTCAGAAATCCCTGATATCTCCGACTTGGAATGACTCAGAGATTGGTGTGAACATTTTTGAAGTATCAGTTGCTCGTAATTACAGTCTGAACAGTGTCATATAAACAAAATGAGAGTCAGAAAGCATTTAGTCAATCAATGCTCTGTACACAGTTTTGAATAGAGGTCTGATCCCACAAAGAAGTGAACCACAAGTCTACAGGACCTTTAAGTCTGTCTTGCTTATATATTCATCCTTTCTTTCTTCTATTTCCTCCCTACTCCTCTATCTCAGGCCCGGCTGGACTTCCGAGACCCTCTCCTGGTGTCGTTGGAGTTTGGACTAGTTAATGAGGACCAAGGTCCCGTCCTGGATGAAAACCTTCCCAAATCCATCAACAAGACAGTAAGACCACTTTATCTCACTTGTAAGAGTCTCTTTCAGTAAATGAACTGCCAGATAACAGCAAGCAGAAGATTTAAAGTCACAGACAGGAAGGATTTGAACTTCATCTCAAACATCCTCCATCTGTCTGTCTTTATAATCCAAGAGAAATGGCCTTTTTTCTCCTCTGGCTCCAAACACGCTGCAGTTACAGTACATTAGCATCTGCAACAGCTGACTGCCATTCTTCAGGGCTTCCTCCAGTCTGCATCAGTGTCTCAACGCCAACAGCCAGGACGATCTTCCCACACTCCCATATGCATATTTGTTCTAACAAGAGGGCTTTTTCCAGATAATTGTTGCAATGAGTGATGTTTCCAAAGTCGGCTCCAACACATCACAGCGACCGCGATTAAAGCCCGTGAGTGTGTGAAATAAACATCAGTAGCAACACCGCTTCTGCCCACTTGTAAACACAGGATCATATGAGTTGTGACACATCCTGACTCCGCTCGGTGTCAGATACAGCCGCGTAGCAGCGACGCACGCTGCACTTCCACAGGCGAGGAAGCGTTATTAGGACCTCTCCTGTTATTGTTATTGAAAGGAAGAGAAGGGACACACACACAGAAAGGGGAAGTCATCAAACGGAAGCTGCCGTTTTTCTTCTGACATTGTGCTGCGCGTGATATTCTGGTCTCTGGTTCTTTCTTGGGAGAGTAGCGGCTGTTGATCCTGACAGTCCGGTGGGAGACGACTGAGAATGGGAACAAATGCAACTGTGACCCCTCGAACAGTGAGAGGGAAAAGGCAAAGGAAATTAAGGTCATTTAAATGTCATCAGTTTAAAACAAACACCCAGCAGCAGCTTATTTTCATTCTCGTTTCTCTGCTAGTTTCTGTGGCCAAATATCACAATTTTATTTTAAATATCTCCCCATGACTTGTTTTAAAACCGATAAAGGGACTGATGAAGAGCATGATTTAACCTTTGTTAGTCGTTTTAAAGCCCCAATGCCACAGCAATGTGTAACAGCAGCAGCAGCAGTAGCCCCTCACTTTGTTATAAAATTGTGTGCACATCCAAATGTTAGCTTCTTATCTTTTTCTTCATCTAGAGAGTCTTATTTGCCAGGCATGTATTGTACATGTTTGTTCCGGGCGTGTACAACACTAAGAGGCCAGTGATATGGACGAGGAGAAACAATGAAGGGCCTGAAAGTAATCAATAAACTCTTAAAATCTATCCAAAATCTACTGGGAGCCAGCCATAAACAGGTTAAAGCAGGAGTGATGTGTTAATGTCTCTCAATTCTGGATAAAAGCCCGGCAGCTGAGTTGTGTACAGTCTGGAGTCGATCGATAGGTTTTGGGTTCAGGCAGGTGAAAAGGCGGCATGATGAGATGAAAGCATGTATGTCTTTGAAACTGTCTCCTAGTATTAAGCTGAGTAAGGGTCAAACAACAATAAGTAAAATGCATTTCTGAGTGCAGGAAAGCTTTTATTTCTTTTCTCTCTCTCTGTAGATTCCTTTAGTGGACTGTGGAAGTGATGAGAAGTGCATTGCTGACCTCTCCCTCAAAGCAGTGCCGAGTGTGACAAGGTGAGTGGAACTGGCATTAAATGGTACCTTCATATTCTTTAAGCTTGTGTGTTTGAAAAAAATACTATAATCCTCATATAGTTTGTGCGCTGAGAGGTTCCTTTAGTTGTCCCTTCTGTCTACCAAGACCACATAGAGATCCTGTTCCAATGAGATATCTATTGTGTGAAATTCCCTCATTTTCTTCCTTACAAGCAATGATTTCTTGCTAAACTGCAGTGGATGAACAGTAACACAAAGGAGGTATTTCATAGTAACTTTGGTAAGACATCCACTGGTATAACTCTGTCTGCTGAAGCCTTTTTGTTGGCAATATGTTTTGTACAGAATGAGGATTTGTAATTTTGTCTTCTGTCACTTGTCTGAGATTTCTTCACAGTCACATTAGGCAGAAGGAACTGTAACATCAACTAGTGACTATCTTAAAAAGTGTTGTTTTCTTCACATAGATGTTGTTTTCTATCTACTTTATATCTGTGGAGTGTTAGATTTCCAAGCTGCAAACCCTTTCAGAGCATGACTGCACCCTTGTGGGGAGATACGTGCATAACAAGCAGGCGTGCTAACAGTTTCCGTTTCCTCCTCCAGCATGCTGATCAAAGTGAACGACAACGCCAAGATTGACGTGAACATCAACGTGAAAAACAGCAAAGACAACGCATATAACACCAAAGTTATCGTCAGTTTCACGCCAAACATCAACTACGTTAAAGTAGAGGTGAGATTCCTGCATCTCCTCTCTGTGTCTCATATTAGTGTACGCAGCTCAAATTAAAACAACGTGATGTTTTATTTTTCATTATCAGCCAGAGAAAGACTGCACTCTGAATAACACCAAGGTTGAGTGTGCTGTTGGATACCCCTTCCTGGGAAACAATGTACAGGTTAGTGTCAGCTGTGCTGTGCAGCATCTAGGTCACATATAACCTGAACAATATAATATTTGTCTAAACTGCTGGTAATTAAAGCTACGCTGTGATCTGACATCCACAGGAAAGCTTTAAGGTGAAATTCGAGGTGAATCCGAATCACATTCAGGAAGAAATTCAGATCAATGTGACAGCTACAAGGTGAGAGAATCAAGTGATCAAGTCTGACGCTGATGATTCTTATTTTTGTGATTAATTGACCTCTCTTTATACCAGGAGCAGGTTATATTTGTTATAAAAACACAACCTGCTCCATTTCTCCAAGGTTGCCAAGTGTTGCACATTCACTAAAGAGGCTGCCCAGGACTACTGTGACTAAAATGGATTTGTTTTTCTGTTGCATAAAAACTTGGAAGAGGTGCAAGTTGAGCAGGTTCAATAACATCAGTGTCAGTGACTCATTATTATAAGGCTGTTATTTACCCTCCAAGTTACAGTTTTGATTAGGCCAGAGTATAAATGTCAATTTGTTTTTTGCTAGAGTTTTACAGATCTCACTCTGGCCTGGTGATCGGCACAGAGAGACTTTTTTTAATTCCAAAATTCTTCCAAGTGTCTCTGATCCATAGAGCCCAAAGTTGTTCTACCACAGTGTTTGAGCTGTAACTGAAATAGGAAGTGTTTTTCATGTAGATGTGAAACTAGGGCTTAACTTGATAAATGAAATAAAAAAGAGATAGTGAATTTATTTTTTGTATATATTACACAATATGCATCTGAATTACACAAACGTATTTATTTTTTTGTTTTGTTTTGTCGTTTTTTGCCACAGTGACAGTGAAGAGCTGCTTTCTACGATGAGTGACAACAGCGTGCAGATCAAAATCCCTGTGAAGTACGAAGCTGGACTCACATTCAGAGTGTGAGTAGATGCAAACATATGCGTGAACTAACATCTTTTGAATAATGGAAGCAGCGCTGGTTTCTGTTGTCCTTCGTTCATGGACGTTTTGACTCGGCAACAGGTGTAACAAATGATGGTCCCTTCTATTTAGGTCAAACCTGTGTTTAACAACAAAATGTCCACCACAAGAAATGTCTGTTCCTACAATGATAATATTAATAACATATATTTTGCTTCCCTTTTGTTGAAATAAAGGCATCTTGGTATCACATCTTAAAAACTGATTCGTATCCTGTGATGAAATACCACAGCAGGTATATTGTTTACCAAGTTTACTGTCTTGGAGCCAAATCAAATCATCCACAACCCCAAAATATTCAATTTACAGTCATAGAAGGGAAATAAAAGTAGAAAATACTCTTATTTTGGAAGCTGAAACTGAAAATTGTAGCTTTCTTTTACCTAAAAAATTCCTTAAACTGATGAATCAATTGTTAAAATAGTTGGTGAGTATGTTAAAAGTTGACAACTTATTAACAGATTAAATGTTTATCCTCTGGAGACCATGACTGTCTCTACATGAAAATCCATCCGTTAGCTGTTGAGATATTTTACAGAATAACAAAACCGTCAGCTCGGTGGTGGTGGTGGCAGGAAAAAGTATCACCAAAGTTAGCAACATTCATCCTCTGGTAACTTTGAATGTCTCTGCAAAATTTCAAATCAATCTATTCAATTGTTGCTTTAGTTTCCAGCTCTCACAGTCGTTTGATGCTTATCGTAGAGTTCAATGAGTCCAACGTGTCACCCTTTCACATCAATATCTTCAGATAATTACAACCCAACTGGGCAGTGTTTCCCTACTAAGTGCTTTGTTCTGGCTTTACAGTCTTTACCGTTTAGTTTCACTCTCACCGCTCTCATCAGCGCTGTTTCCAGCTGCAGTGAGCAGCTGTTTTCATTGATGAAACCAACCGCATGCTTACTTTCAAGCACCAGAAGGCAGGCAGATAAAAAGTTAGTGAATAGCTGATGAACATAGTGGAGCATTTAGCTGCTAAATAGCCAAACATTCTTCTTAGGCAGTAAAACAGAGCTAAAGGAAGGGTGAGGACTGTAGTTGCATCCATTAAGTGGCCAGAAACACCGTTGCACATGCTACTGCTGCTGCTGTTTCCCAGCACTGCATCAGCTTTATAAGGTGGTAGCACATTAATGTTTTGTTTGTTGTGTTGGCCAAAAAATACATTATTGCAGGTAAAATGAGGAAATACATATTTATACTTACAATTTATTTATGTTTATGTTATTAAAATTAGTCCCACACTTTGCTAGCTATTAAAACATTAATAAATTATATATTTATGCCATAATAAAGATCATTGGAAACAGCAAATATACCAGGAGTGCCTTATTGTACAGTGGTACTAAGACTTCTGACGTCATCGTATCTAAATTTGATGTTTAATGTTTGATGTTCCTGCATCTGAAGCTCCGACTGAGAGGTGAAAAATGTAATGTGTCTTTTTTTTAATGTGCATCTTCCAGGTCGCACGTGGACGAACACATTGTAGTAAAAGAGGGCGAACAGTATGTAGCGGAAATTAATGACACCAGCATGATTGGAGAGGAGGTCAACATCAGCTATACGGTAATGTCTGCTCACTGCGATCGTACCTGATGATTAATTTATTTAGACGTAGAGTGTACAGCTACATGCAGATAAAACAGATGCCACTCCTGACTCTCCTCTACCTCATGTGTCCTCAGGTGGAGAAGTCAGGTGACAGCGGGCTTCCATCTCTTGAACTCAACGTGGCGTATCCTCACCGGTCTCCGCTGGGGAACAGGTTACTGTACCTGACACATGTCACCACCACCCCACAGGTATTTAAACACACACACACATGGACGTGCAGTAGTATCTAAGCAAACAGACCCACCTTCGTGTTTGTCTCTCGCTGCTCTGCAGGTGAAATGTTATGCAGCGCAGTTCATCAACCCTGATCAAATCAACCCAAAATCTGTAGCGGTCAGCCCAAAGAAAGAAACGCTCAGCGTCTTCCTACTGGTGAGTGATCCGATGTGTTTCCTACGGACTGCTGAGATGTTCCTGCTCTTGTCTTACCGTGTATGTCTGATTTGTTCTGCAGCGCTGTGAAAACATAGACTGTGCCGTTTTTAGCTGCTCCATCGGTGACGCTAAGATCAATCAGGTCAACGTCACGTTCAGAGTGTGGAAAGCTACGTTCATCAAGGTAGGTTCAAGATGACATCTGACTGCTTATTTCTGGTCTTCCTCAGTCCGCTGCTTTGTCATGGACGCTGATGAATTACACACTAACACAGTAGTAACGTAGACTGAGAACTGTCTGACTGATGAAAAGGCAGGAACACAAACATTTAAAGAAGGTTTATCTTACAGGGCGAGTTTTCCAGTTTGCACATGATGGTGAACGGGACTTTGATGGTCAAAGACACAAAGCTGTTTGAACTGGGCAGCAACGGCAAGATCAGAAGTGTAAGTCATAAAGTTTTAGTATTATGTGCTTGTATTGTCTAACAGATCGCTAAACGCTTGTGTGTGTTTACATGTATGTGTGTGTGTGCTAACCAGGTGAAGATCCAGGTTTCGAAAGAGACCGTTGGAGGAATCCCTTTCTGGATCATCATCCTCAGCATCCTCATAGGACTGCTGATCTTAGCGCTTGTCATCTTCATTCTCTGGAGGGTGAGATTACCTGAATCATGCTGTATACAGATAAATATCTCATGAGCATCTGTGGCATTCTGTCCCTGCAGTGCAAACACAATTCGACATTTTGGGAAGTAATTTGTGAAGCAGTTTGCTTTCTTCACGTCCGCTTACTTGATGTTAAATATGAAGTTGTAGCCAGAGGATGTTGAGCTTAGCTTAGCATAGAGACTGGAAACAGATTCAGTTGCAGTTCTGTGACTCCTCTGACCAAACAGTCTGTACATAACAACATTACTACAGTATTCAGGAATATGCTTTCTAGTGATTTTAATACAGAAGAGATGATGCCGGATAAAATCATAAAATGTCACTTTTACACATTTTTTTGTACAGATTTGACACATCATATAGTCTGTTTGTTAGTGAGATTTAGAGGCGCTATGGTAATGAGTTGAACAGAACCAGTGTTGCTTTTTGTCTTTATGCTAAGCTAATTCAACTGTCTCCTGGTTCTTCATTTATAACCTTCAGATGACAGATCCTTCAGTCTTCTTTTCCATAACAACTCTCAGCAAACAGGTGTATTTACCAAAGCATCAAGCTGTCCCTTCAACGTAGGCAGTGAATTTAGAATGAGTCACTTTTTAGCAGATTTTTTAATTATGTTTTCTGCTCTTCAGTTGGGCTTCTTCAAAAGAAAATCCAGGGACTACTCGAAGGAGGAAATGGCGAACTGAGGTTTCCAGGCAGCCACCATCAGGTCGCACAAAAGTGACAGTCAGTCGGACAGACGGAGGAGACGCCACAAGACCCACAGACACCTCAGTGCTGTGACACATCGACTACCTGGAAAACACCGTCACTGTTTCCTACGTTGGCGTGAATTAGATAGTGTTTGCAAATGCTTCCTCGCTCTTTTACTGTGCTGCTTCAAGCGCTGAGTTACAACACTGGGGCTACTGAGATGGTCTCACAGGCAGAGACACAGCCACTCACTGTATCTGAAGTATTTGCAAACGCTAAATTGTTCCACACCAGCTTCTTTATCGCAGATATACAGTAAACATGAAGTCAGGTCAAGCAGTTCAAGAAGAGGAGGTGAGAGGGAAGCAGCCGTCACTTACCAGGAATCTGTTGGCAAAGTAGCATTATATATATCTGTATTACATACAGCAGAATTAGCAGCACTTCAGCTTTAGAACAAAAAAAAAGTACTCAGGTTTTTTACTATGAGGATCCAAAGTTGCCTAAGCCACCTTACACAGTTAGAATGCGTCACAGCATGAATGCCCAAAGCTCGAACAAGACTATATGTGAACTTTACATGTGTTGGAGCAGCCTGTCTAATAGCTTAAACTCTTGTTTTAAAACGTTTTTTTTAACGAAACACTGTATCTTTTAGCATTTTATAGCAGTTTGTTTGAACTTAACAGTATATCATGGCACATCCTTAATTTCCAAATGTTAGCTAAAGACAGAAACATCTTTAAAGCAAAGGTTCAGTGTGTATGCTTTTGTTTTTTATACTTGTAATTGTAGTTAACCAACTGTGATGTTAAATGTCACCGTGGTTACTGAGGCATACAGAAAGCTGTGCCTTTAAAATTGAAACCTTTGATTGTACTGTAAATATACGTGCTCACGAAATGTAAAGCTTAAAAATGTATATAATTGTGTTTGCATTTAATTTAATGTTATTTTTTTGTGATCAGTGATCAGAGACATGATTTCGCTCAGGTGCTACAAGTATCATGAATGACGACATTAACGTTTGACACATTATAAGAAATTTATCAGGCTTTTATCACAATTTCAGAGCTGATGCAAATATGTAAATAGTGTTATATTTTGATGAAAAATGAAAGTATAATTATTCTGTACTGAAATATACATGAAGATGAGGGTTTGTATCCACTATTTTGGTTCTATTTGATTGAAAATTCTATTCCCAACCCGTTGAATGGCTGTGATTTGAATGTTGGCTGATTGAGAAGAGAAACCAATGAATACATTGATTTCGACCTTTTCATTTGCAAAATGTTCCTCCAGTTTAGAAATAAATGTTCTTCGCTCACCAGTTTTCCATCTGAAGGGATTCACTGGTAGCCTCCTTGTCACCCCATAAGCGGTACACAGTACCTCATTCATTCAGGTTCTCTCCCTTGTTTTTGTTTCCAGAAGTTGCACAGCTACACAAAATGTTAGAAGAGATTATATTGTATATGGAGGAGAATAAGTTCCTGCCTGTTTCTTGACTTTCCCCTTGTTGTTGTATAATAAAGCTGAGGGAAAACACAAAGAAGAAGAAGAGGCAGCCTTGAATATTTTAGTACTCCTCAGCTTTCACTTTCCACTGTTGACACGAAGCACATGTAATAAGTTGTATGTACAGAATGTGTATCTGTTAGTCATTTTACGATTGTACGGCCACATCGGGCTCATGCACGAGGGTGGACCTGTTGGTCTCTCTTTGTTCACTTGAGGCGGTCTGGGATCATTTTCTCAGATCAGATTTGCTTTCGGATAACTTCTGAGGAAGTGTAAGGCACAAAGTGAGAGTTGTGAGCTCCAGCCCAGCCTTCGACACTGCTGTGAAGTCTTCATTGTAATGCACTGGTTTGTCAGACTGTATGTGTCCTCATCAGCACAGAAATGAACTGAATCTTCTGTACAAAAATAAAGACTTTTTACAAAGAACTTCTTGATCATCAATTATTTCACTTTTGCTTAAATGTTAAAAGACACTCTGTTAATTACCAGCCTGCTCAGAGACATCATTTTGCTAAAAAATAATAATAATTTCCCTTCTTGAAATGCATTTTTGCAACTGTGGCTGGAAATAATTAAAACATTAAAAGATAATGTGATTGATGGAAAAATGGAAACTGTTTTTTGTTTTCTCTTTAGTAATCCATTAATAATTAAGAAATTCACTAAGCAACACTGTGCTACTTTCTCTGGTTCCAGCATAAGAAATGTGAGAATTGGTTGTTTTTAGTGTCATTTAACCACTGGAGATTCAAAATACTCAGTTTTTGGACGGCTAGTCAACTAAACAAGCAACTTGAAGAAGTGGACTATGGCTCTGATGGAAGACTAAATGGTTAATTGGTTACTTGAAAAAGTAATAGATCAACTGACAACAATGTGTTTTTTTTTGTTTTGTTTTGGGGTTTTTTTTTAACAGGAGGAAAATCAACATCCAAAAGGTTTCATCTGGGACAGGGAGTCTTTGACAAAGTACAGTTGTTTCAGTCAAACATGTGAGAAAAGTAATGTGTCAGCAGGTTATGATCTCTTTGAGTGTATTTATTCTCCAAACAATAAATACACAGAGTACTAGAAGAAGAAAAAACTATAAGAGGAAAATGTAAAAACACCTAGATTAATTTGTCCATGTAGCTGATCCAAATCTGAATGTTACATTTTAATTAGTATTTTATGCATCACATGTATTATAGATATAACATAACACTGATCATGCTTGCATTCGTTTATTTTGACAAATGCGAGGGTTTGACTAAAATCCTGCGAGACAAAAATGAGGGCATCAGCGCACGTGGACGAGAGCAGAGTGATTTCATGTACGAGAGCGCCGCCTGGTGTTCACCCGCAGCAGCCAGCCAGAAGTGACACTCTGGGAGGGGAAGCAGAACAAACTGTAAGCTGCTGGGGATCCATCTTGCTCGAAAAAGAGACGAGGGTGAAGGATTTTTCAAGTTTAGTATCTCAGAAACTGTATCGTTCCCCGTTGAGCGCGCTGGGGAGCCCGAGGAGGGGCTGTGTCGCTGTTTGTAGGATGTCCCGACATGAGGGTGAGTTGATAAGCAGGTCCTGGCTACGTTACCTGAGCTGCTAGCTGCTCGGCTAGCTCTGCTAAGTGCTTATTCAAGTCGAGAGGGGGGGGGGGGGGGGGGGTTGTTGCGTTTTCCGCGGCGTGTTTCCAGGCTCGTCCCTTCACATATATATTTGCTGTCAGCAGCTCAGGTGTATATAAACGTCTCGTGTTTCCTAATTCGAGGCTAGCGGCTGTAACTTCACTCAACCTGTTCGCAATGATACGGCAGCAGAGCGGAGCTTAGCAGTTAGCCGTTGCTAGGTGCTGCGCTGCCTTGGGTTAGCTTGGCTAGCGAGCGAGCTAATGCATGCTAATATAAGGAGTCGTTGGTGTAGCTGTGACTTTATGTCGCTTATTCTTGCATTTATTACCTCCTTGCTTGTGAACTATAATATACCCTAGTGTAGCCATCTTTATTTTTATCTTATATTTATTAATTTAGGAGCCCGTGGCTGTTAAATTAGCGCCATACTGTCCCGTCCAGTCACATACTGTTGTTAGCGAATGCACTGTCATCAAGAAGACAGAAAGTCTGAGGCCTCTCACCATAAACCAGTCTCTAAGTTAGCTAGCTGGCCGGCTACTTGCTAGCTGGGGTTAAGTCCTTAGTTAGTATGTTTAGTTGATTTACAGTCTATTTGGCTCTTGAGTCTCAACATAACGTTAGTTGCAGCAGGTCAGCTAGGTGGTTGTCTCGTTTAACTTACAATCATAATGCAAACATGGGCACAATGGGGTTAGTTAGCCCCTATAGGACAGAGGGGCAAACTGAAATAACTTGCTGTTCCTTATTCAGAGGACAACAAAGGTACTTGGTAACCCGTTTAACTGTCTTCCAGTGGACAAGCTAGTTTTTGTGATAACACTGGGATTGTCTATGCAGTTGAAATTTCCAGTGTAAATATGTTGTAAGCTCGAATAAGGAAAGCTGTACCACTCATACCTGTGTGTCTGTGAGCCCCACTAAAAGTTTCTGTAGAACAACCAAACCTTCAATCAACACATAAAGCTGATAACTGCATATTACCAGTTGATTTAATAGCACAAGTCTGCATTTGGTTTATAAATGTTACCCCCCTGAAGGTTTTTCTTTGTATAGTTTGTAGCTGTTTTGTTTTAGTTTGTCAGATCAGTCAGAGGAAATTCTCTTAATACTTGTTTACACACTAGCCAACATTTTTTTTTTTTACCTTCAAAGGAAATGTCACTATGAAGCCTCATAGAAAATAACCGGTTGTGTTTGTACAGTGGTGAGGGGGTGTGTGAAGAGTAGCAGAGAATTGCAGTAATATTTGATGTGATGCCTACTAAATAGTAATTAGCTGTATTTTCTGCTTTGGTTGGCTCCACTTTAGTTTCTTAATCTCTTAAAACTGTTTGGTTCATGCAGTTTTAGATAAAACAAGAAGGTGTGTTCTACCTGAAAATGAGCGGTCTGTGCTATAAATGAGTAACGAAAGGGGGCAATGAAAACAGCTTTCAGATGTTTGTGTCATGACTCGGAGTTGCTTGTGAAGTTCGCTGGAATGCCAGGGTTCTTCATTGCTGGCACTTGTGGGCTGGTGCCGCTCCAAAACACATGCTCATGTAAGTGAGAGTGGCCTTCGGATGAAGATTGCCCTCTCACAGTCCGTCCCGCACGCACAGCTATAAGGAATTTGTGACTTTATTGTCAGGTCCGCATGTTTGATTTCACGTCATTGTTTTCTGTCTTTGCAGGTGTGAGCTGTGATGCGTGTTTAAAAGGCAACTTTAGAGGAAGGCGGTTCAAGTGTTTAATTTGCTACGACTACGACCTGTGTGCATCGTGCTACGAGAGCGGAGCCACGACAACGAGACACACCACAGAGCACCCCATGCAGTGTATATTAACCAGGGTAGACTATGGTAAGGACCTGGCTGAAAACACAAACCTGCGAGGCTTACTGATCATACACCGATTCATAATGCTTGTGTTGTACATGAGGATTATATTTTAAGACTTCATAATCATTGAGACACTGAGTGACTACAAATAATAGTTGCTGTGTTTTACTCTCATCTTGCAGACTTGTATTATGGAGGAGACACCTTCTCAGTAGAACAACCGCAGTCGTTCACATGTCCTTACTGTGGCAAGATGGGCTTCACAGAGACATCCCTACAGGAGCATGTCACCTCAGAGCATTCAGAGACCTCCACAGAGGTGGTGAGTACACAGGGCGTACAGATTGTAAACCATCATTCTATACATATTGCACACACTTGCATCCCATTTTAAGCCTGCCATCCACCGTATATTTAAATCATTAGACGTATGGATTTTCTTTGAGTATTTTTTTTGCTATTGAGTACTGCCCTTCAGTCAGCTAAAACTACCTCTCAGAGTGTACATGCAAAAGGCATTTATAGATTACTTGCTGTCAGAGAATGACTTTTTATGAGCACTGTCCACTGCTGAACAAAGCGAGGCAAAGGGTCAAGCTGCTGCTCAATCTGCTGGCTGGCACCTGGCTGGCAGACTAGCAGGTCGTCTGTCCAACAACTGGCAATGATGTGGAAAAACAGAGACTCTTGGAGCACACGAGTAGTATTTGTGCTCCAGTTCACCACCAGTGCCAACTGAAACAGCAAGTTCCACTGTGGACTGTTTTTGTTGGATTGTGTTGATGTTGCCTCAGCAGAGCGTAAAACTGAGTTTATTTAAAGAATAAGGCTTAAATTATTTAATATTTTTTTCATCACAACCAAATGATTGTTTTTATATTGATTATTTTATCCATGAAGTGCCCCAGTTTTCCATGGCCAAATGTGACATTTTGAGAATATTATGAAACTAATATCAAACAGAGAAGTGAAACACATCAGCTCCAGACAAATTCTCATGAAAATACAAAGATAAAACTTCCTCAACTTCCCTACCATTCCTCTGGCAGTCCGCCTCAATCCCAGTCATTCCTACAGAAGATATGAATCTCATAAACAGCTCACTAATGTGGTGTTTGACTTTTTAGGTCAGCGAAGCAGTTTTGTCAGCCGGAAACTATAGTTCTAACAAACAGGAGTGTTTAACGCTACATTCATCTGCATTTGGTGTTCTAGTAAGACAATGAAGCAAACAACTACAGGTGTATATATAGAATAATGCCAGCCGTGTACTTTTAAATAATTTCCTAAAGATGAACCAAACAAAAAAATCATGTCAGTTAGTGTACAGGATGTTATGTGCTGCAGTGTTACCCTGATAATCTGATGCACACAGGTGATGGTACAATAGAGTCTCAGTTAACAATAGAGTGTTTACTAGTGATGAGTACTTATAGTCTTAATGGACTTAATGGTGAAATGTGCTGTATAAGTTTAATGTTCTCCAATGCATTTAGTGCAGATGGTGTGTCTAAAACATCAGGAGCAGCTGTGGAGCAGACCTGATGTTTACTGTAGAATATTGCTGCCTTTATCATTTTTTCAGTATTTTTTATTTACGGCTGCAGTTAGTAGTTGTTTTCATAATCAGTTCATATGATTTGCTCAGTTGATTGTTATGTCAGAAAACACGAAAAAAAATTCTGTTACAGAAACATATTACGATGTATTCAAAAACAATGTTGTAACAGCCCAGAGTCTAGATTTATTCATTTTATTGAATTATGTGACATAGAAAGGCATCCAGATACAGAATATCTGCTCTTTTTTTGGTTGAAAAATAATGTTTGGCCAGTTTTTCTAAATTGTTGCTATGTTTTCAGTAAGTTGATCGTTCAGTTAATTGTCCAGTCATTAAAGTGCTGGGTTTTTTTGTTTTGTTTTTAAATTTGGTTGGCATTTTTTCAGTACAATGTGAAATGACAGAGATTAAACCACTCTTTGAGTTCAGGTT